GGTTTCTGGAGAACTGGTCTCCCAGAAACCGGCTAGGGAAGGCCTATGAACCCAAATTAATATCATATTCGAAATCAGCATGGTCCATTACCTACAACCCACGACATTTCATTAAAAAAACGAGAGTACATTCGGGGAGGTTCCTTCGTAAGCAAAAAGTGAAAAATAATAACAACAACAATGTTCACTAAGAGAAATCGATCGTACATTGAATAAAATGAACACTCAAATATACCCCACACTGTAAATTGTGCTGATTTTATATAAAATGAATGACGATTTTTGAAATGTCATATACTTAATCCTTCAGGATTTTATGATATGTCTAAAATCGAATTTTATAACTTTTTCTGAAATCATGGTTTATTTTAGAGTAAGTTATAAAATCGACCGTTTCATGTTATGTGAAATACAAATGATTTTTTAAATTCTCTAAAATCGAATTTTGGTGTTTTTATAAAATTGTTATTGAATTTGTAGTTTGATTTTATACAAAGTCAAGAAACGTTGATGATTTTTAATTCTATAAAATACTTGAGGATTAATATATGGACATTTCAAAAATTGAAAATGGAAATTAGATAAAATGTTGTCATCATATTCTCATGCTCAGCAGTATCAGTCGGCGCTGAGTACAATGCTGGCGGAGATCCAGAGAAGAAACAATACGTGTTTAGTCTAAAACGAAGAAATTATCGAAGCAGAAAGTAAATCAGCATCCGAGGCCAGTTTCTTAAAAGAACTTAAGTAAAACTTAAGTTTTTTTGAGAAACAAGTCCTGGATCTTCTCAGTGCTAGAAGCGTTAATTAGAGAGAAGGAGGCTAGTAAACAAGGCTCTAGTGACCCCAGACCACCTGTTTTTTGTTCGACTAACGACGACTTCTAAGTCTCTTCTGCTGAGCTGCTCTTAATAAGGTCTCGTAAACTCCGGAAAGAAGATGGATAAAGAAAGAAAGCGTTGACTCATTTCTGCTAAGTTTTAGTGCTTTGTTCCTCTTTCGAACAGACTCAGTTCCATGAGAGAGAGAGAGAAGAGAAAACCGTTCGATAAGGACGTGGGATACCTCAATGCTGCAAAACGTGATGAGAAAAAAAATAAAAAACGATGAAAAAATATTAACCATTAATGTTGTACCCTGTGTCTCTTTGAAGATTGACTTCTCTACTGATTAAAGTATAATAAGAGAAAAATCGGAGTTGATTTTCCAGAAACGCAAAAACGTAGCATGATTCTAGAGAAGACTTGATATTAATTTTTGATTTAGCTGAAAAATTAAGTTAATTTTATATTTCTCTCAAAAATCAAGCAGGATTTACTATTCTGCAGCAAATCCTGAATGATTTTATAAGAAAAAGAAGATCAAACTTTTTATAAAATTTGGTCGATTTTATGTAAAGTCAAAAACGAGCATTTTTTACTTTCGTATAGAATCGTTGCCGATTTTTATAAAATCTTTAAAATTTTCAGCAATTTCATAACTGATTTTCCATAAGTTTATAAAATATTTAGAACTTGCAGTGTAGTAGATCAAGATCCTTAATCATTCGAACAAAAGTAGCGAAAAGTTTTCGTAAAAGTCATCATCTTCTAAAGAAGATTTCGAACGTCCAAAATCTTTTCTGTTGTTGTTGTTGTTGTTTATTTGCAATATAAAAACCGGTTTCTAGCTAACCGAGAATATACTCCAACTACGAGGCGAAGGACTTTACATCCAAACTATTAAGAGATAAAGATAGATCCAAAATCTTTTCTGTCTCATTCCATTGTCTAGTTTCCACTATCCGTTTCACCGTTCGCCCCAACAATGGATGTGCTTATTGAATGGTCCATTTAGTTACGAGTGGCTTACTGTACATTGATTTTACAAATAGTAATGAATTTGATAATGCTTACACTTCGTTGAAAATACAAATTCAAAAACATCTGTCGCTGAGAAATTTGGAAATGGTCCCTTCACATGACCATAACAGTGTACAAAAGCATCAACAACACTCAATCAAGACTATTCAAATCGAACAGCAGTTGCCATCGTCGTAAGTATTAATCGTAGTCGATAAATTTACCAAGTAGAACGGCAAAACAGTCCGCTGAATCATAGATTGCAGTAAATAATCATTATCTGAAAAAACGCTTTTAATCAACGACAAAATACTGTAGAAAATTAGAAGGTTCTTTGTTTGTTCTATCTGTCATAGAACATTTTTGAGAGTATTTTGTTTGAAAACTCAAAGTAAATAGCATGATAAGTAATTTATTATTTAAAAAGAGCTGTTTTGGCAATTGCATCCCTTCACTAGCAATCAAAACATTTCGAGGAAAATCCTTAGGAAAAGCGCAGTCGTGTGCAGCTGTTGATTAAAACTTTTCACGAAGGATCGATCAAATGAGAAGGAAATATGTCAGAACTATGTCCCCATAGGTGAATGAAGACCATTGACCGAGTTAATCAACTTTCTGTCTTCCCCTTCTAGTTTTGATATCCTTAAGGTACCATTAATTTGCAGCAAACATGCTAGAAGATATAGTTATTGTTATTTTTAGTCCTCAACAACGTCATACAGATCCAAAAGAACATACATACCCTCCAAAGTCAAATGGATTTTATTTGACAAAAGAAATTCATTCATGGTCCGAGGATGACGTTATGAATTTTATGAATGATAATAAATTATATCCAATGACAAAACTTTGTCGCAATATGAATGGTACAAAATTGTATGAATTATACAGAGATAGTGATCAAAATTCCGTGGTAGCACACAATTTATTAAAAGAGGATTTAAAAGGAGTATATGGCATTGATCTACTCCCGCGGTACACGTATTTAAGTTTTATTGGTGAATTAAGAGAACATCTGAGACGACGAAATAGAACAATACAAACTGACATTGTCGACAAAATATGAACGAAAGAAAACTAAAACCTTTTAGCTCTATAATCAAGTTATTAATCACTAAACCTACAATATTTTGCTATGATTAACCCATTTTATTTAATCATTTCTAGTTTGATATCTGTAATTATTCAAAAAATCCTTTTATGCATTTATAGTAATCAGAGATGGCAATAGCTTAATAGTGACACCTCTCAGTGTGACAGTAGCGCTACCCAAAAATATGTCGCCAATGTCGTAGTGATCGTAGTGATATAGAAGGGTCTTTTTTCCGAATGTGGGATTAAAATTTAGGTTTAAAGGGGATTTTCAGTGTATATTGAAGAGGCTTTTTTAAAACCTCTATGCAAATTTTCCTTTTTTCCTTTAAAGTTCATTTTATCTTCTTATTCAAGTGCAGAATTAAATTTTAATGCTAGCGATTTGATTCCGCTTGAAAAACTGAACATACTGGTCACTTTCTTCAACAAAGATTTTAGACGGATTTTCTATGGATTTTACAGAAATACAAGCATGTCGAGATAATATCGTGATGAAAATGTTATTGCCTCACATTTGGCCGAATTTAGTGGAATGTACCATTTCTCTGATCATTCTTGTATTTTTTTCAGATCTCTATTCATGGTTTGCGTACAAATTAATTTAAAGCTCTATGATGCTTTAAAAGAATAGTATCATCTGCAAATAACCTCACTACACTTTCAATTTCATTCGGTTGATCATCAATATATATAAGAAACAGCAAAGGACCAATAACCGATCTTGTAGCACTCCTTCTGAAGTATTACTTCTTTATGAAGTAGAACCAGCTAGTATCGTCTGAATTGCACGACCTTTCAAACAGTCCTCAATCCTTTAAAGCGCGCGACCTCGAACTCCTTTCTTAATACAAACAAAATCCTTTCTTATACAAATTTCTTATATAAATCCTCCTCGCAACACTTCCTTGCTCTGAAGATTGAAATTTTAACGATCAATTTAGATAAAAGGAATGTTGTTGATAATAGTAAAAAATTATCAACAGTTATGTCACATAGTCAGTCTGCAGTTGACTGTTATTGTGTTCTTGAAAGAAGATTTTGATTGCACATCGACTACTTTTATTTCCGATATAGACGGGAAAAACCACGTGCCATTGATAAAGATTTTCATTCAGGTAAGATAATATACAGGAAGATGTATTTAAGCAAGTTCAAAAGTTATGAAGGAAAGAGAGAATAAACCAGAAAGGAGTGTCTATAAGGGCATACACGGCTTGGATAAAAGTAACGGCGTGACATTTTTGACACACTAATTCCGTTTTTCTGAAAAAAACTGTAATAGATAGTCATTTGACCGTCATTTTAAGCACCTCGGAATTCTGCATCGATGCTGCAAAAACGAGGAAAATCCATTTATATTTGCGCGCTACAGAACAGTTTCTCGGACGGTAACACTGACAAAAACACGTACCCTTTTTGTTAAGACAGTCAGCTTATTATCTATTTTTCTGCGAATTCTTCGAAGGAAAAAAAGTACTGTCAAGATAAAGTTTGTAGAAGAGGTTACGGTCTACACATTGGTAAAAAAAAATTTAGAAGAACAAGCTACGGTCGCTTAGAAAAGCCATTAAACTAAAGTAACGCCGTGACATTTTTGGTAACGGCGTGACATAATTTTTTTTAAAGATATATATTCGAATTTTTTATCGATACAGAGATTATCAAAAACAAAACTAATAATGCCAGAGTAGTTTTTTGGCCTCTTTTTTACAAGAAACATCAAATTCTGAGATATTCTAGTCTATCTGATCACGTTTATGTTTCTTTTTCGGAGGAGGTACTCTGCATAAATACCGAAGGTGACTGTGTCACGCAAGAAGTGAAAAATTTGAAATTGAGATGAATTATACATCATTCGATTGAGAATATTACGCTGATTCCGACTTTGTATGAATTATTAAGTTTTGTAGTGCCTCCGGAGAAATATGAAGAAAATTCCGGAAAATGTTTGGAAAATTTTAAAACAAATTGCAGCACTATCTCAGTAAAACCATGAGAAAGTTTAATTTTTAATTAGATAGACGTGTAGCCCGTTGTGCACTCCACAGTTTCACGGAGACCGTGTAACACCCGCTCTCAGCGCTAGTTGTCAGGAACAGTCTTCGTGCGTATTTTCGTCAGGATACATTTGAGACAAACTAAGAGACATGCAAATTCTACATTGCTACATAAACAATACGTTTATGACATTTTCAATCGTCTAGCACTACATCTTCAGTCTGACATAATGTATCTGATTCCTCATCTGTTTTGAATGCTTTTGGTATTAGTTGTAACCAGAGATGTGCGCCGTCGCGCCGATTCGTCGCCGCCGCCGGTCATTTTTTACAGCGTTACAACTTGTAACGCTTCAGCGTCTCTTTCTTTTTAGATTTTGATGAAAAATGTTCTAAAAGTTTTTAACAGCTACGTGCTAGAGATTGCATGTAGCCTGGTTCTTCCTTCCTGTATTGTTGTGAAAATAGAGAAGTGTATGGAAAGTGCTGACCGCCAGCACCCTCACCCTCACTGAAATCAGTATCAAAAGCTGACTTGGTTGATGTGTGTCTCAGGATTTTTGGGCAACTTTCATTTTTTTCGAACTTTTCAACCGAGATTTTTGCGGAAAAGCTTTTGACACTGATTCCAAATAGGACATTGGTTTTGCAAAAAATGATAAGTTGACGATGAAAACTGCAAAATACAAGTGAATTTTCTTGTTTTTTGCCACCTGTTTCAAGAAAATTAATTTTCTCAGCAACGGAACAATATATTCCAAAACCGATACTAACTTTTTTTCTGACAAGTGTGATGACTTAAATAAACAAAAAAAACTTACCTAACTACTAACTAAAAAAACTAGATAGGCTTACAAGACGTTCGGGTGGGGTTCCAGCCGTTCTGCCAGGTGTTCAGCGATTTCAGTCGGCCAATCGGGTTCTAAAAGTATCTGAATTACTTTTTATATTCAATTTTGTATGTAAAATCAGGAAAAAATAGTACCAATATTTTAAAAAGACAATAAACCCTCAGATTTTGCTTGTTCTTGAAAATTTTGCTGAATTTTGCCCATTTTTAAAAAATCAATATTTCAAAATTTTTTAAATGAAAAAAGACTTTCAAAAATCCACTTTTCAGTTTTTTTCAGGTAGCTCGATGAACTCGATCTAATGATCAAAAAAAATTTTGCTTATCTTTTGAATTGCCTGCACCTTAGAAAAGCGCATAATACGAAAACTACTGTCCCAGAAATGTAACGCTTATGATTCACCCCAATTGTTCTCATTGAGAATCTTCACCAGTCTATGATTTTTAAAGGTTATTCACGCATTTGCGGCTTTCTTTTTGAGTTATAGAGGTTTAAACGTTGATATTTTCGAGATTTAAACTGTGCGTGATATGTACGTGGCGAACTTATTGGTGAAAAAGTTTTACGCAAATAGTTGAAGCGGCCGAGAAACGTGATTTTAGATTTTTGGACATTTTTGCGACACCTTTTCAAACAGCGCGCTGTTGTTAGCGGCGGAACCAGGATTTCGTGCTAGGCAGGGCTGAGCCCATCACTTTTCCGGAGTTCGGTCTGAAGTAGTGGCACAAAATGTTTTTACAGAACTTTAGAAAGCTGTGTAGGCGGGGCTCAGAGCTCCCTAAGCAGGACTCAGCCCAGTCTAGCCCTGTTGATGACTCCGCCACTATCTGTCGTGTCAAAAACCGATAAAGTCAGAAATCGAAGCACATATATTATGAAACCTGAATGTTTAGTATATCGTTGCATAAAAAGAATTTTCAGTTTAACTCTTTTCTATATGGAATAAAAAATGCATTATATGCCGGCGAATGTTTCTCTGTATTTAACACTTGCCCGATCGATACAGGCTTATTCGTTCTTTATTATGCATATAAATCTGGTACCGGCAAATTTCGTAATCTTCTGGAAGATGATACTCTTGAAGCTTATACATTTCTTCGTCGTACCTTTCAACTTATCCAAAGTGATGGATGGACTGTTGCTCATCTGCACTGGCTTACCGAAAAACAACTTCTCAAAAAGAAAACTAGAAATGCTCAATACGATCTTAAAAGTACTATGGATGAGATTGTTTTTCAGTTTATTACACCAATGCAAACGTTTTTCCTAAAACCTAAATGCACATGTAGCGCCTGTCCAAAACCAATACGTAACCATACTTGTGCAGAAATCTCATTAACGTAAGTATTTTTAAACTTGCTTTATTGTCCATGAAAATAGTAGACCTTCTTAACTAAAGCAGAATCGTTATTCTTTAATTGATTTTATTTGGTAGTAAGAAGTGTTGATTGATGAAGAACAGATACAACCATTGGCATGCTCTACTCAGTGCCGTGGCGAGAGAAAAAAGCAGGAGGGGTGTGCATTTTTTCCGAGAGATCAACTCTAAAAAAATAACGCAGCTACCTTTCAACTCTAAAAAAAAAAGCAGCAGAATTCTAAGGAGAAAGGAAAAATTATTAAAGAGAAAATTTTTCCAGAAGCAGGGGGAGCTTACACCCCCCCACACCCCCCCTTTAGCCACGGCACTGGCTCTACTATCTCATCGCTTCATTCTTTCAATTATTTTTACTGATAAAGCTGGCCGTACCGAAAATATCCGTTTTATTTGATTTTCGATATAATTTATTTATTCTTGAATATAACAGGTGCTTAAACACCGAGAAAAAGTTTTTAAACTTCATACCGGATTTTGCTACTATTCGTGAACCGCCGTGCGGTGTGAATCTTGGTACAATTGAACCAATTAATTATCCAGCCAACTATATGATTGACACACGGTCTTCAGTTAACAATATGGAAATCAACGTCACTCGTAAAGAGTAAGAGAGCTTTTCTTCTATTAACTTTTACAAGCAACTTTTAATTTTAGAACACACTATATATGTCAAGCACCTCGAATAGTTGATATAACACGATTCATTTATACGACACCATTCGTTATTATCAATGTTGAAAATAGTCCATCATTAATGACAAATTTGCCAGACCCTTTAAATATTGGTGAATATGAGTAAGTTGCCTCAACTTTTCTGAAAAACAAAGTTCATTCACTTTCCGTTCCGGGTACTGTCTTTCTGCTGATATTAGAAACACAGTGCTCATTTTATTGCAATTATTAAATCAAATAATAATGATTATTATTGCGTTGATGATCTAGATTCACGAGGCTGCTTTCGTCATGATGGCCTTCTATAAATACACTTCGCTCTTTACGTTGTAAAACTGTAGACAGTAATTGTTTCATTACTATTAATATCGCTTAATACTTCTTTCTCTCTTCGTTAATAATATAATAATATTTATTTTTGAAAACTTTTTCTTGTTTCTTCATCTATATATACTAATGAAAAACTTTTTTGAAGCTTAAAACATGTCACGACGTCTAATTATACTTCCTACTTATCTGAATGAATTTTTTTGGTATCGAATATCAGCAAGGATTACTTGCTAAAATCGCCTGAAACCCAAGTATTTAAGCCCAAACAATTAAGAAAAGTTTTTGTCTTGTATGAACAGCTGTTCTTTTCTTTTACATATGTATAACTTGTGTTTAATTATCAATTACTCTTGATATTACTGTGTTAATATAATTAGTTTGTTGGTTCTTATCTATTTATACGTTGCAAAGAATGAGACGAATATTAACATCTTTATTCGACTTGATTCAAATCGACCGACGTTTTGAACACCTTCCATTTAATTTGGTTTCGATCTCTAATGTGTACAACACACTAACTGACTAACATGATGTGCCTGAACTGCAGTAAGAATGAAATTCCTGATGAACAGAGTGATAATAGATAGACTGTAAGGTATTTTCCAATCCTTTTTTTGCTGCTTTCTTCTTTTGTACTACTTATTAACAATCTTGAAATATTTGTAAAAAATAGGAAACTTGAGGTTTACAACGCATTCTGTAATACAAACTAAACATTTTCGGGACATTAATTTTTTTCAAATTGTTCCGAATCTCGTTTGTCCCGTCGCGAATTTTTTCGTCCCGATTTGTCCCGTCCCGAAAAAATTACGGGACAGTCCCGTTTGTCCCGTTTGTCCCATGGGACGGGACAAACGGGAGTTTTCGGGATTCGGAACTATTTACTGTCGGATAATCAATGTCGTATATGTTTTTTTGTAGGGAATATATTTTAGAGATTGCAGTGAAAATCTTCTTTTTTTCTCTCCAATGCCTGTTTTTTTTTCGTTCCATTTTTTGATTGTTTTTTACAGATGTTATCGAAAAGACTTCACCTTACGTCTCCTTACGACAATCATGACATATTACATTCACAGGAAATAAACGAATCAATCTTAAATCATTTATTTCTTTTTCATGGACTATCATCTTCAGCATATGCTGATTATTTAATTCAATCCAACCATGAAAATGAATACAAAATACTTGAATGTATGAATGAATACTTTCAATCTTTAGATACAAATAATGAACTACCAATTTTATCAATCATTAAAACATGTACTGAAC